ACTCTGGTTTCCTCCCACAGTCCAAAAACATGCAGTCAGGCCAATTGGATGTGCTAAATTGCCCCTAGGTGTGAATGTGTCTGTCTGCCCTGTGATGGACTGGCGACCTGTCCAGGGTGTATCCTGCCTTCCACCCACTGACAGCTGGGATAGGCTCCAGCACCCCACCGCGACCCAGAGGGATAAGTGGTTTAGATGATGGATGTGTATATATATATATATACATGTGTGTATTTAATTCAGAACTTCTAGTTTTAGCTAAAATTTTCAACTAGACACCAGAAGTGATGTATTAAATATTTCAAATTCTTTGAGAGCAAAGTTATTAACTTAAGTCATTTGTGAAAAATATCTATGTTCCATGTTTCTTGTCAACTTATCTGTCTTGAGAATTGATCACCACTGTTCATTTAATTATAACTTCAATCTCAGTGCTGTGCTGCTTTCTCAGTCAATTTAGGATCCTGTACAGCTCTGTTCATGTGCATCATTCTGTTCTGTTTTAAAAGTTCCTGTGAAGCTAACAAGGGTGCTGGGATCATTTTAGAATCTTTTATATGTGTATCTGCAACAAAATATGGTTTACCTACAGTGTACCTGTTATTTGGCTTTACTGCTCTCTTTTTAATGGCAGTGCTACACAGTGCTTTCTTGACCAGACTCTGAGAGACGTCTGTTATTTAAAGGTGTTGTAAGCATTATCTAGCCACTGAAGCTGTGGTAGAGGAGGTCATTGTGATGACAGCTGTACAGTAGAGAGAAGAGTAGAGCCGGAAACAACCATGAAGCAGCCGCTGCACTGGGGGATTCATTATGCATGCAGTGCAGAGCATAAATAATACAGAGAGAGTTTAGATATCGAACTCCGAGAGCCACTGCAAATGGCCAGGATACACACAGGCACTGTGCCCATGGGCCCATCTCTCTCTCTCTCTCTCTCTCTCTCTCTCTCTTTCTGTCTTTCTTCTATGAAAATGTTTGCTGCACCTCCACTAAATTCAGTTGTTACTTCCATGATGTCTCTTCATCCATAGTGAAGCATCGTGATGACTCCAAAGCTAAAGGATTAGGATCAGGGCATTTCCATTTCCTGGAGTTGGAAAGTAGTAAGATTTTTTTTTCCCCCAACAAATCACAGTGTTTAAAACAGACACCATCACAAACTCAGCTGAGAGACTCGTTTACACCAAAAAATTGCCAGTTTATTGGGTGAACCCACATTGTACCTATACTTGTTGGCCATTTTATCAGAAACACCCACATATAGGCAGGAATGGACTGGCCATCAGGATGATTGGGACAATTCCCAGGTTGCCACTACGTGTGTGGGCCGCTGAGAGAGTGAGACAGAAAAATCCATGGTCGTTTCTAATTTAGCCCTCTATAAAATAAATGTAGACCGCCTGGGACATATGGCAATACACCACGATAGTTAAAGTAAATAATGAAATGCAATTTAAAAATGAAAGTACGCTGTTTGTTGGATATCAGAGCGAGGTAAGGTCACGGTTTTTGGGGTGGGGTTGGGGGGGTGTACACTGTAATCATAGTGGGCTGGTCTAGCCAAAAGTCCGGGGCTGAATTTGGTTCCCAGTCCAGCCCTGTGTATAGATGCTGTTGGTAGGTTTACAATTACTAATTGTAGCCCATCTGTTGCTACCCAGTTTATCAGCCCCCCCTTTTGTACCATCCATTAATGGGATGGGACCACAGTAGCAACACTGCTGGCAAGATATCATGTAGGTTGTGGATCATTCTAAGGAGAGTTGTGACACCAATATGGTGCAGTGTGTTTCACTGGTGTGAGTCTGTCAGGCGCAGCAGTGTTGCTGGGCTTTTTATGTGGTGTTTATTTACTGGCCAGTTTATTGTATTTAACAAGGTGAACATGCACTTCATGCAAAAGTCAGAGACCAACCTTATGTTTATACATTTTCCTAGCCATTAAATACAAGTTATTTTTTTAGATTAAGAAAAAAGTAGAAAACAAAACAAAACAAAAAAAAAACATAAAAGTATCCAACAATCTCAAATCTATCAGTTTCTAATTTGTGCTCCTACTGACACTTTAACTCATCCATCCTCCAGGCCTTAAAACACCACTTATACCTGTGTCCTCCCCACAAAAGCTCCCAAAGATATCACTGACATTATATTCCCCTTCAAAGAGACACTTAATTTACTCAAACAACTACCCAAAAACTTCTAATGACCATGCAGGACATAGCAGACCTCAAAGAACTGCCCCCATCAGATAAACAGCACTTAAAGCTTTCATCTCTGAGAGAGAGGAGAAAATCAAGCTGCTTCAGATCTGAAAACATCCACAGGTGTTTCTGTTCATCCTTCCACTGTGAGAAGACGACTCAGCGCTATGGGTCCGAAAGGATGGGTAGCTGGCAAGAAGAACCTCACTGAGAAAATGTGGGAAAATATTTCTGCAGAAGAAAGGAAATTAAAGTACTGGCAAAGGGTGGCCACACTAAATACTAAAAAATGATGTATTATATTCAGCTGTTGAATCTTCTATGTAATTTTCCGTTAAATGTTTTCTACTTTTTTTTGGCACTGAAAAATCAGTAACTTGTACTTAAAGGCCATTTTGACTGGAAATTAAATAAATGCAAGGGTGGTCTATGACTTTTGCGCTGTAGAAACTAAAGTCTCCCAAAAACCTCAGCAAACTGCTGTAGTGTGAGATATTGAGAGATTCTGGATTGTGAGGTGAAGTGCAGCATAGATGAAGAGTGTAGGCTGGACATAATTAAAATTATATATCCGCTAAAATGCCGCCTAAACGTAGCTTAATATTGCAATAAGATTATCAGCAGCTTAACTGCATCTGGGGAGAAGAGCTCATACTCATGTATTTGTTAAACAATCTGAGAAAGCAGATCCATCGCATCGCTCCGTGTAAACTCACCGAACTCCAGCATGGAGGATCCTCAGAAGACTTCTAATTGGAATAACTCTCGGTAACCCTGCAGAGAAACGGTATTGAGTTCATCTGCAGGGCTGCCGAGCTGAAGAGCCAGCAGACTGCCGAGCGGAGACACTCTGCTGTGTTCGTCCAATAGGACTGCTCAGCATTCTTTTGTCATGCTGTCCTAAAATGAAAGTGGTACAAACACAAAGGTTCCATGTGACGCTCTTGGTCCCTAATGTGAGGCAACTGCCTTGTGAGGACTAAACACAAAGCACATGAACACACGAGAGAAGTGAAAACCCCAGAGGGAACGATTTATTGTATTATCCGAAAGGGTGAGTATGAAGAATTGGTCAGTTGGGCTTGGTCTGCCAGTGTCTTTGCTGGTCGCAGTGCTGGGCAGGGAAAGGCTAGACTACATCTCCGGGTCCAGCAATGCTTACCCTCTTCTCGATGGCTGGGAGTAGAAGCTACGGTTTGGCCCAAGAGTAGAGACAAAATTCAGGCTTCAACATGCAACCTACTGTTGTCACATTTTGTAGATATGGTGTCAGAAACCAAATAAAAGTCTAGTTGAGTTACTTAACACTGCATAGTTTGAGGCAAGGCAATGTGAACCTTGTGGCTAACAGCTTTTAGTACTAGCCTTGTTGCTCCAGTGCAAAACTTTGGACATCAAACATGTCGAATTTGATTTAGACATCTGTTGCTTCAAAGGAAGCGTGTCTCAACCACTAAAATGGCCATATTAAAATCTCAGCAAATCCATGAGCCAGCTGTGTTTTTATTACTTTAGAAAGATAGATAGACAGATAGACAGACAGACAGACAGACAGACAGACAGATAGATAGATAGATAGATAGATAGATAGATAGATAGATAGATAGATAGATAGATAGTTTGACACTAATTTCTGAGTAAAACACAGTTTCAGAGAGTCTTTTAGTCAATGATTGGAAAGGGGGTGGGGTGGAGGGAGGGTGAGGTGAAACATGATATTATTGGTTAATATTTTTTCCCCACCCACTGGTGCATGGTGATGTATTCTAAACTCAGATGTTTTCAAAGCAGGCAGAAGTCACTACACGCATTAAAACATAATGAGAAAACAAGAATTATTATTTTGTTATTTTTTTCATAACATATAATAAAAAAAAACATAAAAAAAATAACTTTTTTCTCTCAGTGAAAATAAAGATAACACATCCCCAAACTGTGAACAGACTTAAATATGGCATTTTCTGCAGAATTTAATGCACAATGTCTGTTTATTTTCTCAGTTTAGCATATTGGAAAAAATAATACATAAAAATAAAACATAAAAAATCGAAAATGCACCAAAAATTTGCAGAGGCCACATTTTGTGTTTTATTATTTTCCCCAATATTTGAAATTCAGCAAATAAACTGTAATTGTCTGTGAAAAGTGTGGGAAGTATCTTCTCTTAACTTATTTTCACCTACAAAATCACAAGACATGTAATTTGACCAGGGAGACCTGCAACTGTAATATGACAAGGGACATGAACTAACAAGGTGGAAAATGTCTGTTTTGATTTCAGGTTGACTTTAACAGACCTGACATTCAGTATCACAGCTTTATTACCAACAGTATAAAGTCTGAGTAATGAATAATGAGTAATGTCATTAGACTTGGACTTATAAAGCAGCATGGTCAGTCAAATGTCAGACATTATGGCACAAAGACTGAAAGCTCAGTCATTAAAGGCAGCAGCGCTGGTAACTGGGCTTGTTATAGTGCCATTTTTTATTGGTAAATCATGGTTCATGATCTGATGGTCATCCCACCATTGACTTGCCATATTTCATTATAAATGCCTTTCTGTCTGTTACTGTCTACACGTCACACGTTGGATGGTTGAGGCTGGCAGTTGCTGAAGTTTGTACGGCCTTTCAGCACCCTGAGAAATGCTGTGCAGGCTTGCTGTTGCTATGGTTGCAGGAATGGTGGTCCTGCCAGCACTCGTTCTAGCATAGGTTATGCTTAAACTGAGCTGGTTAGCGTTCAGTTTGGGAAGGAAATCTGAGGGTGTTTTTTGTCTCTTGTCTTCAGAAAGCGAAGAGTTTGGGCCAGTGTTCATTCAGGAGCCCGATGACGCCATCTTTGCCCTGGACTCAGAGGATAAGAAAGTCATGATGAGCTGTGAAGCCAGAGGAAACCCTGCTCCCTCCTACAGGTACAGGCCTAATAATTTCATTAACAAGGATAAGACACGATTATAATGGATAATAAATGGCATTTCATCTGAGTTCTGAGCTTTACTTCTTAATTCTTAGACCTCTACAGAGGTGACATTTCAGATGAGTTTGTGGTAATGCTGTGAAGGGTTGGAACTTCTGAAATGATATGCTTGCATTGGTACTTAGCCCAGAGGTGGGCCAGGCCTTGTGTTGAAGGGCCGCAACAGCATGGGTGCCTGATTTTGAGTGAAATTGAGGAGAGGGGATTTGGAAGTTGAATGAGAGTGTTAACCATCAAACATTTTTAATGAGGTAGGGGTGTAATAAGACCAGTGCTACATTTATTGTTTATAACAATATGGAAATAACACATTATTTCAATCAGTCAAAACCTTGAGTGAATAAGCAATTATTTTGACATAATAAAGCAATCTTGAGAAATTAACATAAAATCTTAAGAAAATAATCCACTCATTTTAACATAAATGTTAAAAGTCTTCAGAAAATAAGACATTATTTCAAAGTAATCAGTCAAAATCTTAAGAAAATAGACTGTTATTTGGCTGCTGTCAGAAGCAGAGATGGGGGTAATAACAGCATTTTTCACTTCTAGCTGGTGGGAATGGGCTTCCAAATTAATAAACTGTTCTGCGTTGTTCCTGATTAAATATATTTTAGAAAAACATGGCATATTCACCGATCTTCTCACACGACAGTTTTGTTATATGGGAGGCTGAATGACTTAATGGCATAACTATTCAATCCTTTATGCTGTGTTTATGTCTGTTTTGTGCCACTTCAACCTGCGGTGTTTCAAAACAGGAAACAATCCAATAAGGTTCGCTGGCAGTCGCCAAAAAAAATAAAAGCAGCTAGTACATAACTCTCAATCCATTATTTAATAAATCAAACCATCAATCTAATAACAATAGAGAAATGTTAATCAGTAGGTTCGATTCTGGCTAACAGAAGCTTTGCTGGCAAAAATTTAGATCAGAATATCTCAAATGAGTGTTTGGATCTGTAGTTTGCTAGCTATGCTAATGCTAGCTAGCTTTTCTTTTCTAGTTAGCAGCACTCCTAGTTAGTTTAGCTTGTGGGCTACAGATCTAAACAGTACCACAATCCACAGTATGGCTTCAATTATTAGCTGGTGCTCTGATGATAGAGGTGTAGATGATTAAAACTCAAGTGAAGGTTTGCTTTGTTAGCAGACTAAATGTGATGCACACCACAGTGCAGGTTTGGTTCCATCTAAACGGTGCTCAAAGAGGCTACGATCACACTGCAGGTAAAAGTGGCCCAAATCTGATTTTCTCACCAAATTTGATTTAAACAGTGGCTGTTCACATTATCTTTTACATGTGATCTGTATGTGATCTGTATGTGACAACAGTCTGAACAGATCAGCTCCCAAACCGACCCACATGCACAAAACAACAGAGCTTCACGCTGCTTTACATGGCTTCACATGGCGCGCCTATTCAGAGGTAAACAGTCATGACTTCCAACGGACGCCAGTCGTTCCCGGAGCTTTCAGTTTTGTCTTCGCCAGAAGCACAATAGCGATCATGAAGCTTCATTGACTGACAAACTGGGCTCATCGTCCAGAATGTGTTTGAGCTCGCAGTTAAAAGTGTACGTTATTCGGACACGGTCACTGCTTTGGTCGGGTCCTTGGATTCTTTAAACTTTGCTTTCAGACTTTTTAACTGTTTATTTAAGCCGCAGCCTCGGTCTCCTGCGGCCGGGTTCATTCATTTCTTTGAACAGGGAGGTGTTTTGGATACGTCTCTTCTAATTTTTTGTACAGAAACATCAGCCTAAATATTTATGAGGTCTCAGCAGCACAAAATTATGGTGAATATTTAGTCAGGATTGACATAAACGTCACATGAAGTCCGATCTGACTGTTCGGACTGAGTCGCATTGCCGCAGATCGGATACGTACCCGATTTCAGGAACACATATGAAAGCGTCTCAAATCGGAATTGAAAATGTCAGATTCAGTCAGTTTTTGCTGTTCACACTGACACACAGACACACGTCTGTGTCACATATGAGGAAAAAGATCAGATTTAACCACTTTTACCTGCTGTGTAAACGTAGCCTATGAGGACTCATATCCGAGAGTACAAAATCGTGTGACTTGTATCGAAGGAACAGCTCAAATCAAACATGTTTTGTGGTGTGTTGATATTAGCCTGTTATCTACTACTGAGCCATTGACCTGTGTAGTTTTTCTTCTATATTTTCTGGACCTAATTTGGCAGCACAGATGGAAAAAGAAACCATAACTACACAGCACAGAATCATTTGGCTCTACAGTGGAAAAGAGGCCATTGTGTATTAATGGTATATGTTAATGTACTGCGGATCGCTTCAGGTTCACAATCGGTTCATCTATTGGCTTCTTTCTGGATGAACCACATAGAATGAATAAAGGGGCTGCTCAGGCTAATTGATCCTGTCTTGAGTGTTTGACCAAACTGGCACACACTGATATGGTTTAATCATGGCTCGTAATTTAGATCAATATCACCGTCTAGCCTTTTAATGCATTCTGTCAAGCTATTCAGTTTCCATTGTGAGATACTGGTTTAGCATCAATAAAGAGTAAAGATGCATAATTTGTAATTCTGATATCCTATTAGTATCATACCAGGTTTTGCTTTCAGTAATGGTTCCAAATGTGCTGCATGTTCTTTCACGAATCACACCTTGTTGTGTTTTTCAGTTGGCTGATCAATGGAACAGATGTGGATGTAGAGGCGGATTTCCGCTACAGTTTGATTGACGGGAACTTGATAATAAACAACGCCAGCGAAGCCATCGATTTTGGGAAGTACCAGTGCAGAGCGGAAAACAGCGTCGGAGCTGTCCTGAGTCGAGAAGCCCTCCTGCAGTTCGCCTGTGAGTAGCTGTTTGTTTTGGGCCTTTCGAGATGCAGCACAGTCAGCTACGTAGCCTGATATGTGCTGGGATGTTCTAAATGAGCTCCTAAGAGGAAGATTGAACAGCAGTGCTGTCAGTTTTAAGAGAAAATAACCTCAGACATGTTTTGAACTGTACAAATGTTTTGTTTTGTTTTGTTTTTTTTTTGTCTCTAGTTTTTCAATTATTAGATATGTTTTCAGTGTGAAATCTTACCTGGCGGTAAAGATATGATCAGAGAGCAACACGGTCTTGTGTTAGCTCACCAAAAAGCTGCTTGCCGCTGCTTCCGGCTGCATCACCCTCAGTACCTCCGGTCACACGCTGCGTGCCGGAGATTAGCCCTTTTAAAACGTAAACATTTAGCTCACGGCTGCCTCTTTGTATCTGCTTAATTTAAGCCATGCTAGGCTGGTTCCGAGGAAAGATGAAGTGAGGTCGGCCCCATGGTTGCTTGGCTGCAGTCTTAAGAACAGGCCCGGGGATTGTCCCTATTAGCTGGGAGAGTGCCCTTAGCGCTGCGGCTCAGTGGTGAGAGAGAGCAGAAAGCACATTTCTTCCCCTGGTAATCCCTTGGCTTCGCTCCAAAACATCAGCACAAGCCAAGGAAGCGTTCAGCGCTGGGCCAGAGGCACAATGCTTGGTGGAAAACACATTGTTAGTTTTCCTTACAGTTTCCCCAGAAGCAATGGCCATAATAGCCTTATTGGCATGTCTACAGGGAGCGTATGCTTCACTATTTCCTGCCCACAGAGCTCTTTTTTGGAGGGGAAAAGAGAAAACACGTTGTAGTGTTTGATGTAACACATTCTTATTGGCGCGCCAGACTTGTAAATACAGACGGCAGATACACACCAATCAGGCATAACATTATGACCCCCTCCTTGTTTCTACGCTCATTGTCCATTTTATCATCTCCACTTACTATATAGGTGCACTTTGTAGTTCTACAGTTACAGACTGTAGTCCATCTGTTTCTCTGCATACTTTGTTACCCTGTTCTTCAGTGGTCAGGACCCCCATGGACCTCACAGAGCAGGTACTTTTTGAACGATAGATCATTCTCAGCACTGCAGTAACACTGACGTGGTGGTGGTGTGTTAGTGTGTGTTGCGCTGGTCTGAGTGGATCAGACACAGCAGTGCTGCTGGAGTTTTTAAACACTGCCCACTCACTGTCCACTCTATTAGACACTCCTACCTTGTCAGTCCACCTTGTAGATGTAAAGTCAGAGACAATAGCTCATCTGCTGCTGTGCAGTTTGTGTTGGTCATCCTCTAGTCCTTCCTCAGTGGTCACAGGACGCTGCCCACAGGACGCTGTTGGCTGGATATTTTTGGTTGGTGGACTATTCTCAGTCCAGCAGCGACAATGAGATGTTTAAAATCAACACCTCAGTGTCACTACTTACTATATAAGTGCACCTATATAGTAAGTGGAGCTGATAAAATGGGCAATGAGTGTAGAAACAAGGAGGTGGTCATAATGTTATGCCTGATCGGTGTATTTTAGCTGTGGTTAGGAACCACGTCATTATAAGCCTTCTCTCAGCTTCACGGCCCGTGCTACTGATATGAAGACGCGTTCGTCTGTGTAGAGTTCAGGATCTCTCGCCAACACAAAGGATGTACACACCCGCCTTTTCATTTCTGCCCACCTCCAGAAATGGATATCACAGACAAGATCTCTAAGCCACCTGAGATTTCTCTTAAGCCTTCTTATGAGTTTGCTAGCTCAGTGCAGCTGCTATTATATTCCTACCACTGGTGAGGTTCAGTTTGCTGCTTCCTGACTCTTAAAACTGGCTTCAGGGAAGCTGAAACAGTGTGGAACACTTGTTAGTCACCCAGGAGTGGATGGTTTGGTTGCTCTTAATGTTTTTTGTTTGTTTTGTTTTGTTTTTAACTTATTCCATCACATTTTTGACCCGAACATGCTTATTAGGTCTGGGCTGAGATTTTTGTAAAGCTGATCTGTGAAATGCAGCTGAAAAGACACTAAATGAACATTAGGACTGCAGCTAACAGTTATTTCTGAAATCATGTGACTGTTATTCGATTAACAGACTAATCTCCCTTTGACGATGGCATTATTCAGAGTTCCATTCTTTAATACAGCAAGCAAATGTAAACTTAAACTTATTGGCCTGTGTAACATTTCTTTGTTATGTAGGCAAAGAATTTGAAAATGTTGTTCAGATTGGTTTGTAGAGAAACTGACCAACTCGTTATAGTGGTGGTGATGGAAACCAGGGAATATTATGTCTAAAACACAAATGTAGCCACTTCATTTACTATCCAAAACCACCTGTGAGCCTACATGTCTTTTGAGTTTGTAATGTTGATAATGATAAAATAATGGTAAAAAATTTAAATCTTTGCCTAATATAACCCTCTATGAACCCCTTTGCCATCAAAGTGCTTTAAAAATATGTTTTAGGCCAAAAGATTTCCTCAAAACTATCTTAAAACAATGTTTTAGGCATCAGGCACCTTCATACAAATATTAAAGGGTATTATAGCTATAATAAAATACTACAAATTTACTTCAGCATTTTTCATAATTCACATAATGGTTGCAGCCATAATGCAGCTGTATTGTCAGTGAGCCTCATGCATTTGAATCCCATCACATTAGAGTTGTGTGCTTTTGAGTCTGAGGCGTATTCTGCAAATCCTTGCCAAAGCCCAGCTTGGGTCATTAGTTGGGTCTCTGCTAGTGTCTTGAAATGGAGACTGGCGAGATGGATGGGTGCGTGGTAGTGCTGATGGGTAGCTGTGAGACACAGTGGTTGGGAACCACACTGCTAGTCTAACTGATAGATGGCCCCCCCCCTGCTTCCAGGAGCATCAAGCATGCACTCTCACATCTGTGCCGAAGTGGCTATGCTTGAAATAAAAAAAACTGAACAGGCTTGAATGCAACTCGGTGGAAATGGATGTGGGTTTTCGCCAAGTTTCTGAAAGTTTCCACCTCTATTTCCACTTTGCCAAGACTTCCCATGAACAACCTGTTCCAGTTTTGGCGTCCTTGCTTCCTCCCTGGCTTTAACCTTGCTGTATTCTCCTTGGCGGGGAACGGGAGTCTGTCAGGGAGACAAAGGAAAGTCCCCTGCAGAAGGCATTGGGATGCAGAGCTTACCCATGTCTCTGCATAACGAATAGTGGCCATTTATCACCCTGTTGGAAGCTCAAGGATCTTTTCCTCTTATTGGCATGGGGCAATCTCCTGCGCCTGATCGGGCACTCCATTCATGCTCAGCAAGAGGTCAGATCTGAATGAATTAAGCTTTATTTCCAAGGCTTTTCACTCAAGACAGCACTCAAACTGTGTTACATACATCAAGCCTTTATTTACAACCTGGGGTAGTGAAACAATCGAGAGTTGTGTGGGTTTGTTCGTGTGTGCATGTTCAGGAGATATAGTACAAGTCCATAGTTAATTTATTTAGTTTTCAATAAAAATGGCCATTAAGTTTTTCAGTATCAGGAAAAAGCAGAAAACATTTAACAGGAAAATAGACAGAAGCTTCAACGACTAAATATCATTTTAAACTGTTCAGTATTTAGTGTGTCCACCCTTTACTTTTATTACAGCTTATTATTCTTTTCAGGAGACTTGCATTCAGTTTTTTTTTAAGAAATCTGCGGGGATATTTTTCCACATCTCTTAAGTTCAGTTTTAGAAGCTAGTTGCATTTCCTGCCTCTTACAATCCAAGTATACCCAAATAAATTCAGTACTGTTGAGGCCTGGACTCTGGCATGGTCAGTCCATTGTTCTGAGAACACCAGCAGCTTCTTTGTTTGATTTTGCAACTTATACTCTTACTTGTATATTTATTTTTGTCAGTAATAACTTTTTGACAGCTACATATCATTGTTGTGGGAAGAAAACCTCATCTAAAAAATGGTAACTTTACAGGAGATGGAAAAAACCTACTTTACTTTTAATGTAAGTCAGTGGAACCAGACTTTTTTCCAAGTCATTTGGGGTCATTTCCTTTAGTCCAGTCATCATGAAATTTACACACAATGTAAAGGGCAAGAGGCATTTCCAAAGTATGTCAAAAACTGAGAAATGACAAAAATGCAGATATGAGGTTTTCTTCTGACAACAGCGACATCTTTTCAGACACATAGTGCTGAGTCATCTTCTCACAGTGGAAGGATTTTTTTTTTTTTTTCAGATCTAAAGCAAGAGTGGAGCTTTAAGTACTGTTTATATGATAGTGAACGTTTGGGTGGTCTGTCAGGTCTTGCATGGTTGTTAGGTGTCTCATTTACTCTGTAACAACACAAATGGATTATCTTACGTCTAAATTCCACAGAAATGTCTTCTAAAAAATGAATTATTGTATGTTTTGACTGGAAATTCAAATGGTCTCTGACTCTTTCACATTATTGTATATATGAGTCATTTTGGGATAATCTGAAAGCACTTTTTATATCCATGAATATCGTTGTGTATAATCAGTAACATCAGTTCAAGCATCTAAACTGCCCCAGTAAAATCTCTGTCTAGTAACTAGCTACTGGGAATCATGCAGCTGTGCAGTTGGCCTTTAAGTTAATGGATGCAAACAGCTCCTCTGTGTAAAGGCAACATTTAGCTTGCAACTTTTCATCTGGCGTCTTTGATTGAAGAGGTAGGCCATGTTTCTCACTGATGGTCAGCCTGTTTGTTTTCAAGAGTGCCACAGTCTCCTATCCTGGCCACAGATGCCTCAATCATCCTTTGTAGAGGGATCAATCCCCCAAAAAACCCCTCTGCCAGGGAAACCAGTTGGAGTGGAGAGAGTATCCACCACCCTGGGAGTTTTAGGTTGGGGGAGGGAAAAACTACAGAAAGAGGGACGGGAACAACACAACAGCCGTGGGTTTCAGTATTCTGCCCGCAGCTTGTGTATTGTGGCTACCATCCTTTCCCTGTTGGACCTTTTTTTTTGCTTCTCTTTGTTTTGAAATTCTGAGAAGCTGA